TTTAAAGCTGCTTTGCAGCGATTTGCATCGTGAAAAGCGCTATACAAATAAACTTGAATTGAATTGAACTGAAAAAAATTTATATTTTACATTTGATATTATTGTTGGTTCAAAGTCACCTTTTAGTGAATTTTGCTGTTTTAACCCAAAATATGCCATGTTGCCTATACGATGTGCAGAACCAAGGAGAGTTAACATGCAGGGGTTGGAGGATTTCAGCCAACATTGTACAAAATATTAATTTAACAACACAACTCCATCAACTAAAGAGTTTGATCAAATGAAAAATTGTGTTTTTGATTGGTCCAGACGCTACAAAGGAAAACTTGAAATCGCATCATATGACCCCTTTAATGAGATATGTATTATATACTGATTTATTGTCAGTCTTTTGTGGAAATGATGAGTTCTATAAGAAATCTGTCACAAAATGTGCCTCCAATCGCAGAAATAAGGTACAGTTCAGCCTTTTTATGGAAGAGCGAATCAATAGGATATTCGTAATTATCTGTAATAGCAACAGTAAAGGCATTAATAATGTGTGTTCTTGCTTCAGTTCATCATGACGAAACCGCAGTAATTATAACAGTTAAAACTGAAGTTTTATTATAAATAACAATAGCTATTTGGGATTGTTTTCCATACAGCAAAGCAGGATGATCACTGGCAGTCGAGTTTAGATGCAAGTTTGCTTGGTTCATTATGAAAAGGATTTGAATCCAGCCACTATGTATCCTATACAATTACAGCACTAGACGTGGAAGAACCGTTACTTGTGTCCCCTCAAAACAAAACCTTGGAGCATGATGGTGGATGTGTTGAAGTGTAACAGAGGTTGGTCATTATGTAGATGGGTGAGCTCTAGTGTTTTGACTGCTATGTTGGCAGAAAAGAAGAAACTCTCATGAGCGGATGGTAAATATTTTGGTCACCAGGCAACAAGGTTGCAGCTCTGGATGCATGCAGAGAGGTTTTCTTCAATCCCGCACATCATGGCTAATGCTCCACGCCTTAATGTCCTCTGGCTCAGCGTTTTTGGCTGTGTCTCCCCCGCTCCCTATGCACACTTAACAAATGACAGCACTGTTTGTGTGCACGGCTCAGATTGGACTCTGGCATTTGTCGAACTGTCTGTCCCTCACATTCAATACACTTTCTGCACATTTACATCTTTGCTTTGTCAGCATCCTGCCAAAATCCTTCTGGTTGTCTTTCATAGGAAACATGCATTTATTAAAATTGATCATGTATCAATCATGTTCTTTAGATTTAAGGTTACACCTATTTACTTCGTGCACCTATTTTTGTAGTTTCACTCTGGACTTATATAAGCATTACTGAACGATTAGTTCAGTGCTGTTTTTATGTGACATTTTGTATCTACGCAGTCGCAGAGCAACCTGTGCATTGTACAAGCACTCTTTAACATGATTTGGAGTGCTTTCTTGTCAGTTTCAAGACACAAAATGGTTCCTGTCAAGCTGTCTTTGTTAAAATAATGATGAGACGGTTCCCTGTTCAGGCTTACGTTGTCTTTCGAGTTCTGAGGTGACATGCTGTTATGAACTGATTATTCAGAAAAGTGTCACTGGGGTGATTTTGACCCTAAGTTGAAGTGATGCATGGAGCTACAGCATCAGTTTTGAATGTCTTGGTAATGTTAAGTTTAAGGCTTTTATGCAATAGAAATGTAAAAGTCTGTGCCCTTCAAGTCAAGTCAAATCCAAAGTTATTTATATAACACTTTTCATAATGCACATTGTTTCAAAGCAGCTTTATTATGATTTAAATGTTTATAATTTCTTAATAACTTCACATTTTATAGTTGCGTTTAGCAGATTAGAGCTGGGTCATAATATAGTTTTGCAACAATACAAGCAATCAAGCAGTTGAGATTTGCAATGTAGTGTATACAGCATGTATGCGGATAAAGTTGAACATACGATATCCATCTTTATATGAAGAGCTTCATGCAGTGGAGACAGTGAAACCAATGCAGTGATGCATGATTCCTCAGACAGACCGACCACAGATCCATACGAGCTCAATCATTTAGCCTATGTTTTAAAGTTGCACTCAGGGTTCCTGCTATATTGATTTTTATGCAATGTGTTTTTGATTCTCCGTGTTCATTGTATTTCATTGCATGTTTTATTAGACTTGTATGTCCACTGGCACATCACTGACAGAGGATCTTCTGAGTAATTGATAATCAAATCAGCTGTTGTTGATTATTTAGCTATTCATTTTTATGTTTCACCAGTTGCTGGAGCCTTAAATTGAATGATGTCTGTTTGCATCCAGTCCATAAATTCTCAAAAATTGGTTTCTAGAGCAAATAGTTGTAGAAAAGCAGTTCCATGCACATGCAAGTTGAATTAAAACTATAAAAATGTTTGCAATCTAAATATAATTATTTTTACATTTGTTTTGCAGTCTAAATAAGTATCCTCATTCTCTCTCTCTCTCTCTCTCTTTCTCATGTTTTCTCAGAGTGAGAGGCTCCTGATTAAAGGCGGTCGGATTGTGAACGATGACCAGTCCTTCTATGCAGACATCTATATGGAGGATGGAGTCATCAAGTAAGCTGCGTTCACATGCACACATATACAGTACAGCATCGTTGATTAAACAACTGCTGATTCAATTTGGAAAATGTTAAACTCATATCAGACTTTCAACAACCAATTCACCTACTCTTTCTTAGAACAAAGCCAGCTAATATTTATATTAAAAGTCAGCATGAAATGAAAATTAATCTAATTTGTAAATGCATGTTATTTTATGTTTCATTAAAAAAAAGTTTAATCAAAATGCCATAACTCAAACATATGAGTGTATGTGTTGAAAACAATAAAACAAGCATTTTACATGTATCATATATCATTTTTACACGTAGCATTTTTATGAATACCTTAATTAAAAAATTAATGTTAATTATACAAACTTTTAGTTATGATATATATTTTTATATATATTTTTGGACAGCCTTAAAGGGGTGTGTAAAATATGTGAAAAATAATGTGTTTTTCGAACAACCTAGTATGAGAGCCTGTTCTAGTACACCCCCAAAACAAAATCAAGACTTTGTAAAAGAGCATAATAGGACCCCTTTAACCAATCTCTCTATGTAATAAAAAGCTCAAATTATTGATATTTTTTATATTCTGACCATTACTCAAAATAACGAGGGTGTATAGGCATCTACAGACCAAATATTTTCAGTTATTCATAATATTTTAAATATTATTCTCATAATGATAATGTTTTGCAGTTCTTTACCTTATGATCTAAGAACAGTTATACAACTGTTATACAATCATCAATCCATTAACATTTATACCATAGTGTAATTAAAAACCATCTTTCTGAATTACCATCTTCTGTCAACTTCAAGGCAAATTGGAGACAACCTGATAGTCCCAGGAGGGGTGAAGACCATTGAGGCCGATGGGAAGATGGTGATTCCTGGAGGAATTGACATCCACACCCACCTACAGATGCCCTTCAGGGGGACAAGCACTGTGGATGATTTCTCTCAGGGCACCAAGGCTGCTCTTGCTGGAGGAACCACCATGATCGGTGAGATCTGTAGAAGATTGCCATATTTATCTGCAGAGTGGATTGAATGGGGATAGTTCACCCAAAATGAACATTTGCTGGTAATTTACTCAGCATCTGGCCATCCGAGATGTAGGTGACTTTTTTTCTTCAGTAGAACAGTAAAGAAGATATTTAGCAGAAATTGAGCAAGTCAGTGGCTATTGAGCCTAAAAATATCAGGCAAGACAAAACTAATCCGTATGACTCCTGCTGATATTTTGATGTCTTATGAAGCGAAACGATCCGTCTGTGCAAGAAACTGCACTTTATTTAGTAGTTTATGCAATCAGGCAATGACGTCAAGTTTACACAATTATATTATTTAAGCACCCAATAATGATGAGAACCTACTTTATATGGATTAAATCAGGTAGAAATATCTCTTTAATGTAACAATGTTAATATGCTTTGCAGTGAAGCTCTATGCTTCACAGAAGAAAGTGTGTGTGTGTGTTAATGAAAAGGGATAAACATTGACAACAACAGCAGGCTTCCGGAAACCACACAAAGCTCCTGTATGCAGCCCACGGTGAAATTCTAGTTGTGTGGAAAGACAGCAGGCCTTTCTGACCGCTGCAGGCTACAGATCATGAAGAAAAAGTGAGAACAGCTGGAGTATAAGAGTGGCTTGTTGTACAGTAAACACTGTGTTAGCACTGATTCATTTTAGAGTAAAAATCCAGCTGTGTACATCCCTTTGTTCCCAGAGGAAGTGTGCGCTAGATTATACATGCAGATAATATGGAGACTATAAAGAAGCAGTGAAATATTGAGAGGCTATGTTCCTGGCCTAATGGTCCGAAAATATTAGCAGTAAAAATTCAGTCTGATTCTGATTCTAAAATTATTTTTTCATATTAATGAATGAGTTGACCAACTTTGGATATCAAATTGTGCAGTTGTATTTGATTATATATCTAATTATAATCACTTTTTGAAGTAATTAGAAATTAACAATGAATTAATACAACGGGATGATATTTAGTTAGGAACGAACTAAATATACAAAAAATACAAGCAAATATAAAGTACTAAAAGGGAAGAAAGAAACACTTTACAAGCATGAACGCAAAGTAAGTATATGAAAGTTTTCCAGACAAGGACAGTCAGTGAGGGTTAAAAAAAAAAAAAAAGAAATAAAAAATAAAAATTGCAGAATATATTCAGAATCATTCAAAAGGGCCTCATGGTGCATCAAGCAATCTTTTTTTTTTCTCCCACCCCAGAAAATACACTGAAGTTATTATTGCAATTATGAGAAAGGAAAACTTGAAATCGCATCATATGACCCCTTTAAAGCAATGAATTAAAAATCAAAATAAAAATCAAATAAATGTAAAATAAAATCAAGTTCCATTGACTCAATCATCAAAATAATTGTAATATTTAAATTAAAAACTGCTCATGCTGCATGTATGCAGCATCGTTGTTTGGACTGTTATTAAAATGCAGTGGTTGCCTCTCAGTTTAAATGGAATGAGCACAGGTAAAGCCTTAGTTTGTTTATATGAAGAGATTTCTTTTATTTGTATTATTTGATTTGGGATTTGTTTTAAAAAATTTCGTTTTGTTATGTGACATAATTCAATTTCACAAATAAACGTGCAGCATTGTGTCTGAGAAATGATAAAAGCACATCTTTTCATTTATAATTTGTCTTATTTTATTATCGTAAGTATCGTTTAGTATCGTAAATCGTATCGCATTGTGAGTTAAGTGAATTGTAACATCCCTAGTTGGTCTGCATAACCAGCTTTTCTTGCCTTCCTAGATGATTCAGACAGCTTTATAGCTCCAATTTACACACATTTTAGTAAGTTATTTAACAAAAATATGTGACCCTCGACCACAAAACCAGTCATAAGGGTCAATTTTTCGAATCAATCATCTGAAAGCTGAATAAATAAGCTTTCCATTGATGTATGGTTTGTTAGGATAGGACTGAGATACAACTATTTGAAAATCTGGAATCTGAGG